ATACGTAATACATGTTGCATGGGGCATGTCTGCGTTTGTTTTGTTTACTTTCAATTGAATCGTTGTTTTTTTGTTTCTTCTTTCTTCACAATGCAACAGTGGGAACTATTTTTTTCTATTATTTTAGAATTTAATTAACCCAGTTTTCAAATATGGGAAAAATATGTACAAAATTTCATTGTGCTCACATAAAAAATATATAATTAAAAAAACTATTTAATACCTGTTGCACAACCAAGCAAAATATTGATTATGTTTTAATAGCAATTTTATGGCTACCGAGATTGTGTGAACCAAAAGTATCTGCCCAAACTTATTAATTTATAAAAAATATAAAACTTCTAACTAAACACAAATATGATGTTTAAAAATTTTAATCAACAATTATTTACATCGTTAATTTCGTCCGAGTCCAAATTTTGATGTCCTCCACTATGGGTGAGCCTAAATTGTAGTTGACTTAAAAATACTTCAAAAATCTTTTGTCATAGAAGTTATTTTTAAAATAACTTCTGGGGAGAATATCCCATATAAAAAACAAGGGAACTGATGAGGATTGGTGGATCTTTCCGAAACCTAGGTATTCCCTGCCTTACCCCCTGGTAAACATTAGCATCGTTCTCCACTAATAAACAAACGTTGTTTTTATAAAAAACAACAATAAAGGGATAAAGCCTGACCATTTTGCAACAACAAAATACTACGGTATCCCGAACAAACAAGCCAACACTGTTCTATTAGGAATTTATATAAAACACGGAGACATCTGCTCGGACATATGAAAACGTGGGCGGAACTTTCGAAATTTTACACGAAAACCTTGGCCATCATTGAAGAATTTTGGCAAGAATATGTTCAACTTGGCAATAATTTAAATTTTCAAGTGAAATCACACCCCTCGAATAGAATAGATATATTGGACTCATATCAAAATGTGGACTAAGAATATCATTTTGTAGGTCTTATTCTCATGTACCGTCAACCCAAAATGCCAAATTGCGACTGAGATCTTTAAAGTATCGAAAATGAAGGTTATATTAAATAGTGGATCTACGATGTTGTGTTTCTGCAAGCTGTGTTTATATTTTTTGAAAGCTTGTTATTTGATGTCTTCAAATTTTTTTGAATTGGGAGGTATGCGATCTATTTCAAATAGATGACAAAAAGGTGATTTTTTAGCTCTCACTGCCTTCCACAGCTAATTCACTTTTAGTATTTTTTTTTCACTGTCAGACATCTTCAGATTGGTCTATGATTTAACCATGGAAACCAAACCGTTATTCCATTGGTTTGGTTGTAACGATCGAATGATCGGCCTGTAATTGATCGAATTTTATCGCACGCTTTTTTTGTCAGCGACAAAGGATGGGTACTCAATGTCGATTTTGCCAGCGATTTTGATCAGCCCAAAGCGAAGCAAAATCTACCAATGCTTCCAGGAAATGTCACATTATGGTGTGATTTATTGATTGATAACATCGTGGACCCTACTTTTTCAAAAATCGTAACGTAATTGTGAATGGTGAACGATATCGTGAAATAATATCCGAATCATTTTGGCCAAAAAGCAAGAGCTTTACTTGCATGATATGTGGTTTTAACGAGATGGTACCACATTCCTTTATACAATTTTTTGCAGGAGATGCGTAAAGCTCATATCTTTAATACTCTCGAAAATCTAAAAAAATCCGTGTTAAAATGTCGGTAAAATTATTAAAGCGCCGCATATCTTGTGGTACAATTATGTATAGCTAATTTTCTGTCGAAGAAGGTGGTGGCTATTGCGAAGTACAGGGTTGCCCATATTCGACGGACCTTTGGGCCCATTCCAATCGACGAGGCTTGTCCGCAGGCAACATTATTTGCGACAATTGACTTTTGTACGGGAACAAAGGCAAATCAATGCGAATAATCCGTTGTAAAGTAGACCGAGCCATGCCCAACTGCTGAGAACGGCGTTTTTGGGATGTATGTCATTAAGAAACGATGTGACATCTCTGTCAAAAGTTATGGCGTTGCCAGATGGGTCCGTCGAATATGGGCAACCCTGTACAAATACCAAATTCGAGATAATATTGTTGAAAAATGTAACTAAAAATGTGAACCTGTACAGGTCGTAGGAAGCGGGATATATTACGAACTCTAAATAGCAAATTTGGAACAATTTGGACACATCAAAATACAGAATATCGTTAGGTAATATACGGGGGTCATATGCAAATATTGACCTGTGTGGACCTGTGTAGATATTTTTCTTTCAGAGTAGAAGAAGGACCTATTGTGAACACTAATTACTAATTTTGAGACCATTCCAGACCAGACCTTAAATTATCAATTTTCAGTAAATTTGGTGTCAAATTGTGACTGACATACTCAAAACCCCTTATATATGTCGGTACAGGTATATGGGCTCTATATCAAAACGAGGTCCTATATGGCCCATTTTTAGAAAGAAGTATTCTACGGCCATCTGTGTGAAATTGTATTAACCAATTTTATTTTGTTTTGAAGCTAGAGTGATTTTCCAAGAGGGACAGACAGACGGACAGATAGGCAGACGGACATTGCTAAACCGACATGCTGATTAAAAATATTTTCATTTACTTTGTGGATAATGGATATTTTGAATGACAGAATGACATTCATTACGTAATATACTTTACGTACTATGTTTTAGCCTTTGGGGGATAGGTACCAGAAGGGATAATTTAGGTTTAATAGACAAAATTTAGATGTCCCAAATTTGGACGAAATCTGAAACTCTGTTCTAGGAAATCGCCAAATCGACTCCAAATCTTCTAAATCGGAATTCGTTGAAAGACGAACGTTGAGACACGTTTTGACCTATTCAATCATATATACCTCTCAGTGTAGGCATAAGGCATAGTCCACAGCCTTTGGCGTGCAAATAAAATTACACAGTAATAACTTGGAAGCAAATTCCCCATTATCAGTAGGTTGAAAATAATGGTTTATTCTTCACAAATTAACGAAGCAGAAAAATGTAGTTTCCTCATTACAATGTAATGAGTAACGTCGGCATATAGTGTTTGCGTCCGCCTACAAAACCGAAGGTTGGAGATCGAAGCTCGGTGTTGGTATTCGAAGAAAAAATATAACTATGGGTTTTTGATATAGTTATAAGACTTAAAACAACCCTCTATGTTCGCAACAGTGGTACAGTGTGAAGTGTGTTTAACTACAAATCCTAAAGTTGTGAATTCAATACCAGCATCAGACCAAACAGGGGAAATTAATTTAAAAAAAAAACACAAATACTGATTTATAATTATTTTTACTAGCCAGAAAATAACTATCCATTGCTGGTGAAATGTCCTTGTAAAAATAATGGGTTAGTAAGTTGATGTATAAGTAGGTGCGGCTGCCGCAAGTAGTTTTAAGTCCCATTATTGGATGATGGGAGTTTTTGCTAGGGAGTATGTGAATCTAGCAAAAAATCTCATTACCAAAAAAATAGGGGCCATTACGAACATTTTGCCTTATTTTAAAATTAATATGTAAAGGGAGGTAAAAATCAATACATAACTTTAAATCACATTACTTCAATTTTAGGGCACTTCATTTGAATTTAAGGTATTCCATCCAAACCTCAGTTTTTATATCCGTCGATGCACTCAGCCTCTGTTCCGAAAATAAATTGTGGTTTAACTCTTCCTATTTCTTATTTTGACCTTAGGTACGTAGTTGTGTCACCGTTACTCATTACATGTTAATATAAAAGTATTTATGTCCTCCTTGTAAACTTTATACGATTAAATCATTACTCTTTAGCTTACCGGTAATGCAACACTTGTAGTGCTGAGAGTGGTACATGTAGCTACCTAATTTTCGCTGGCCATGAAATAGAGGGTTCTAGCTATTAAACAACAGAAATCCTCATGTAGATGTCCTTTTTATACCCTCATTGTAGGGGACTATTATTGGAAGGCCTGTATAAGTTAATTTTATGTGTGTCCTACGGAAGGTCTTTTCTATCTATCCTCATATAAAAGTCCTCCAAAAAAAATTTTTAAAGATGAACTATTGAAAGACCATTAGACTAGGTGGTGAATGAGTTAGGATTTCTGTGGAGTTATGCCTGCTAAAATCCGCGCGGAGTGATTTTAACTTAAAGGCAATCTTTAAAAAGTGTTTAAAATGAAAAACATTTTATGATGCAAGGGTATAAACCTAGGGTATATATTCGCTTTATCCTTCAACATATTTGATCTCTCTAAACGGTGCGAATTAATTGTCCAGACCACAAATCTTGAAGTGAGTTGTGTATATACAGTAAAAACGAATTGCAATCTTAATTTAAGGAGAAGTTTTAAATATTCTATTAACCACATGTAAATTAATAAACTGAGTTAATTTTTAATTCTTGATATTACTATTCCGATATCAAGAATTTATGATTGTGACCCAATCTGCAAGGAAAAATTAAACCAGCACTGCTAAAAACCGTGTGTTAGCACATGACTCCAAAAAAGATATTATTTAAGAGAAAACAAAATTTATTTTTTTCTTTTTTTACTTATCCATTAATTTCAATTGTTTTTAAACATGGAAGTTGTCCAAAATTGTTAATAAAGCGAACTTTTATAAAAAAATGTTTTAATTATATTTTAGTACTGTTTTTTTTTTAATATTACAAAAAAAAAAAAAAAAAAAAAATAGAGAAATTCGACTGGTGAGCGAGGTCTTGTTTTTGAGCAGCGCTGATTAAACCAATATATCCCATTGTGTAAAAAGTGGAGGACTAGGTCCTACTTCAAGTGAATGTTCTTAATTTATTGACTATTTTATATTAACCTCGCAACAAGTAAATTCCTATTACTGTGAAACAGAAAACAAATTTGAGTGCAAAAACATCTCACTTCCTGTGTGTCTATATTGCAAATGTGCCAACAACTTCCCATTTTCTCATCAAACAATAAATTTCTGTGTTTATTCAACTTAAAACTTTAACAACTACAACAACAACACCATTACAAAAGCACTCTCGTTTTTTTTTTTCAAATCGTTTTGAAAAATTCCAATAATCGACATTGGATTTTCAATAATCCCGATAATCTTCCGAATAATCATCGTATTCTTCGTGGCGATCTTCCTCGGGTCGTAATTTCAGACTCTGGCCATTGAAATAGTTGGCATGGCGACGGAAAAGCTTCAACATTCGATATGTGTCAATGCCTGCATCTGAGATTTTTGGTTGAGGCGAAAATGTGGTGTGTCAATGTTTGTTTGGGTTGTGTGGGAAAATTGCAGTATGTTTTTGTTGGATATGGAAAAAAAGAGAGAGAAGAGAACAATACAAAACAATTATTTAATTGTTTGCTTGTTATTAGCAATATTTAACACACAATTTATTTGTGTGTACGTTTTTTTTTTTTGCAAAAACAACAAAAGAAAAGCGACTAAGGTGGTGATCTATGAGTATTCGTTCAGAGGTGGTAATCTTGGTTGTTGTTGTGGTGGTGGTGGTTGGTGGGGAAAGGGGAACCTAATTCATTGCAGTTCAATTGTGTGTTGGGGGCAAAAAGGCAAAGTGACACTGTTGCTTTTGTTGTTGATTTTAAAAGCCAACTACTGTTGTTGCAGTAACACACTACAACCATTGATTTATTTTTATAGGTTATATTCCCCCCATGAAGTGCTTAAGGGTGCAGGCGGGAAAACATTTTTCCTGTTACCTCACAAGGGACGATTCTACCTTTATTTATAATTATTATTATTTTTTTTAATAAAACTTACCATATGGAGCAGGTGCAGGTGCCACATACACGGGCGCTTGGGCCACATGTTTGTAGGCTGGTTGATAGGCCACCACAGGCTTGGCAGCAACCGCAACTGGGGCCACATGGGCCACTGGAGCTACCGCAGCCACTGGCTTGGCCACAACAGCCTGGGCATGAACGGTGGGTCCTGATTTGGTTACAACAGCATTGAAACCATTTATCGAATCGGCAGTGTAGTCGACGGTACGTATGGAACCATCGGGCTCTACCAGAGAATATTGACCTGCAAAATAGAGAAGTTGATTAGGAAATATTATTTTGAGATATAAGGAGAGGAGAGGAGGGGTAAGGTATTATACCTTTAACTACATCACCGTCACGCGTTTCATGCTGCGATTTGACATCACCAGTTGTGTGATCAGCAACACCATAATTGAAGGCATATTTGGGATGATCCTGGAAACAAAAATGAAATGTTTTAGTTATTTTGAATAAATAGTTTGTTTTAACAAAATAAGATAAAAGTGCGTAATTTTAATTAACATTTTTTATAAAAGGTTTAAGAGGGAGTTTTTTGTGTGAAAATATGAAATTAATTTTTCACTTTCCATTTTCCGATTATTTCTGTTTTTGTTGTATTAAATATCCTAATTTAAACGAAAAGGGTCAGGTTTTAATTTGGCTTATGCATGGCAACTCTTAACTTAAAAGTAGGCTACAAGTCCGGGAACAGCACATAGAAAATGAAGGACTTGGCTGGGTCCAACAATTGATCAGCTTTAAAATGGTGCTGAATATTCAATCCAGCGGAACCAGGCCATAATATTTGGTCCATCAAACATTTATTTCGAGATGGTTTTATGTGGACTAGGGTATGTATACATAAAAGAATTGTCTAAGGATGAAATCAGCTAGTTTTTTTCATTGGTACCAGGACCTTAATTTATATTCTATGAAACTGTGAATTCAATACTTTCTTTAAAGGAAAATTATGTTAAAATTTATAAAGAAAATAATTTTCAATTCTAATTTTCACAGAACAAGAATCCAAGCCAAAGAGTATCAAACATGTATCGAAATGAAGCTTACGTCAAGAATAGTCCAAAAGAATTGAAAGGAAGACCTCAGGAATTTTTTTATATAGAAGCTAAAAAATATAATTGGGATGGAGTAAGCCTAGCGATTTTGATACGTTACCAAAACAAGGATAGATCTAACAGTTGTGGAGTGAAAAAAAAAAATGAAATTTTCTTGACAAGATGTTAGCAAAGAGAAAGCAAAGCCAATATAAAGAAGTATGCCTCTAAAAAAACGACCCAGAATTACCAGAAATTCGCAAGAAGATCAATGAGAAAAATATTAAAAATATTGGAGGAGGATAGACGAGAGGCACCGAATCTCATAAAATAATTAATACAATTCAAGAACGTTGAAACTGAGTGTCGAACAGGAAGTTTGTGATGATTCGTATTCAGCCAAATTGAATATTTAGCCAGTAATTAAAACTGGAGGATTTTTATACCCCTGAACATGAGAAATATTTTTTTTTGTGGCAAAATTCACCGATTTAGCGAGAAGGGCGGGGCGGAGGTCCCGTCCTCTAAAATAACATTTTTTTCTAAAATGATTTTTTTAATAATTTTTTTTATCAATCTATAAAATTAAGAATTCGCTAGATTCCAATTTACAATGACTCAAATTATAAATTGTTTATAGGTCTCTTTTGAAATAGTTTTGAAGGGCATTTCTGGCTACGTCGATGGCCAAATCGGTTGTCCTCAAAATCCTTAAATCTTTGGAGATAGCGTTACTTGGTCGATGTTAATACTGAGTATTTTAAAAATTAGGGTTCCAATATCTCAAATTGTAGCCACTTCGGTTATTGGAGCAAAATGTGACATGATTATGAAGTGATATTGGAATTTTTTCGTAGCTCGAATTCTCAATCTTTCATATTTATGTCTAATTTTGCTAAAAATTTAAACTGAAACCTTCGAAATGCCGAATTACAGGGGGTTTGGTTCTATGAACGGCTACACCAAACAATGGCCTTACAGTGAAATTTCCTTTAAGGTTTTTTAAATGCGAAATTACAAGATTTTTTTTTTTTTGTTTGGAAAAAACTTTAATATACTCCAAATGCAAAAATATCGTAATTAAGTGAACATTCCAGGACTGTCCATTTTCACAGATCATTATGTTGGTATTTGTGGCTTAAATATTCGAAATACTGAAAATCGAGGTTTTTCATTATTTTCAATTTTAGAAGGTTGATATAATCCATTTTCAGTACCAATCATCCTAGACTTAATACACAAGAATTAGTGAATCGATGTTGTGCACCTATGAAACAGTGGTAAATTCCCTATTTCCTGTGCTGTATACGGCAAGCTCCTTTCTTGAACCAAAATTTGATTAATAATTGTTCAAAATTAAAAAAAAAAAAAAAACAATTTAAAAATGTATAAGTCGGTTTTGCCGACAAATGCATACATAATAGGAGTGGAGAGGTACCAGAAGGAGTGGGTCGTTAAATTTCACATTCACATCAGATCTCTGGTTGAGGTTAATATTTCGATACACAAAGTTTGGAAAGAATCGCTGATTTTTAGAGAATCGTATGCTTTTTTTGTGAGCGTCTTGTGTATTCACAATATTGCCCCCTTGTGGGGGCGTTACAAGAAGAGAAGGACGATATATACCAGCTTCACACCAGATCTTGTATTAATAAATGTATTAGGATGTGTGAAATTTGAAGAGAATCGGATGCTTACTTCGCATTTTCGTATTATAAATATTCAAAATTATAACCCGTTGTGGGGGAGTTACTAGAAGGAATCGGATACCGGATCTTTTGTTGGTACAAATTTTAGGATGTATCAAATTAGAAGATACATATTTCATGAGATATATAATTCTTCAAGATTGTTAATCTTTTTTGGGAGAGGTACTTGATGGAGTGGACCGATAGTACCCATTTTCGCACCTGATATAGCAGTGATACAAATATTGGGATTTACAAGGTTTGCACAAAATTAGATGATCCTTTCTTACTCTATGAGGTAAATTATTTTCTGTAAAAATTTTTAACTTTTGTGGGGCAGGTACCAGAAGGAGTGGACCGATATTGCCCTTATCCGAACTCGATATAACTTTGATGATGATATTATGTTGTACCAAGCTTCGACCGTGTCGGATACTTCCTTCGAGAGTTATTTTGCGCCCCAATCAGCCAGCAGTCCAGACGAACGGACACACCTAGATCGCCTCTAAATGTCCTGAAACGGATTTGGTCCAAAGACACCCAGGGTGTAAAAAAGTTATAAGGCACGTTTTTTGAGTATCAAATAATATATGCCCTCTGTAACCATGTTGCTAAAGATAAAAAAACTGAAGTGGGGCGTCAGAAAGATTTGGTAAATCTAGTTCATCTTCATGATTTTTTGAGAAACTGATTTGACAGAAAATCAGGGTGATACCATGGCTGACTGACTGATATCAATATATCTGCTCCAAATAATACTCTGAAACAGATTCTATCAAACACGTATTTCAGATGCATATAAATTCTCTGGAAAATAAGGGTATAAAAAGATTTACTTCTGAAGTTCCAGGGACTGAATCATATCCTATGGGACGTAAGCATTTTTTGTATACTATGCAAGGAAAAGTAATTTTTTGTTGCTATTCTAAAATATATTTTTATATTTTTAATAAAACAAGTATTGTTCGAGCTTAAGGTCTTTGTTGTTACATATTTTTATTTCATCGAGATTCATCGAATTTCGAAATATTGGAAAATAAAATAACTACAACAATAAGGACCCCAAGCTCGAACAACACTTATTTTATTAAAATATAAAAAACTTGAAAAAAAAAAAAACGAAAAACATTAATTTTTATATTTCACAACCTTCAGTTCACAACCCTAGAATAAAAATGTCTAAAAAACTATGATTATCACTGGTTCTGGAATCATAACTAAAGGGTTTTTTACTAGGCCAAATCATTAGTCGAAAATGTTGATAGAATTTATTAAAAAAGTGTCCTTGGCTGTGCAGTGTGGGGCCGATTGTCTAATTGTATTTTTTTTTTCACACATATCTTCCACCTCTTATATAAAGAGGTAAGCGCCTGTCCATTGAATTTGCTATGAGACTATAGTGGCTTCAAAAGCATGTAAGGATCAGGCATTTCTTTCATTAAAAAAAAAATAAATAAATAATGACGATAACCAATCAAATTTTGAGATATCCGCGATTTTTTCATATGACAAGATATTCTCAATCTAAACAAGTTAGGATTTGCATCCGAAACGGCCAATTGATTTTATAACATTTGACATGTTTCTTAATAGGAACAAGTATGTAAATGATTATTTTTTAAGGACGAGATGCGTGCCATTTTGCCTACTAGTTTCAATTAGATCAATTATGGTATATTTTGTTGTCAAAGTGAGCTATTTATAATATTTTATTTTTTTTTTAAGTTTCCACAATTTTTGTATGTTGTGTTTATAGTTATATAATCTCTTTTTTCGAGGACATCCTCTTGAACGTTGTCACCAAGTTCAATTTTCATTTTTTCACATTTATCATAATGTACACATTTTTAGTCCTGTTTGTTTTCATATTGTTATTTGGAAATACAAAATTTTACACTCACATAATAATCAACCGCATAACCTGGTCGTGCATTAACCATGGAAGCACTTAGCACCATAGAAAGGATAACGATTTTGCTGATGGGGGACATTTTTTGTTGTGATTTATTTTTTAGTCGTTGAACTCTTTTACAAAATATGTAATCGTTTTCTGAAACACAAACACAAATATTATATTTTTTTATTAATTTTACATTATCACTATTTTATTAAAAAGAAACTTGTAATAAAGTGTAAAAATATTACTTCAAGTATTTCGTTGGCACCGTTTTGAACACTTTGAATTTGCCCGGAATACTGTAACAATTCTAAGATCAAGTTTGCATTTTATACCCCCAAAGAAAACCCCAAGCAGCATAAAACCTCATCATATCCCACGCACACAAACGAACAAAATGTAGCTCTTGCTTTCCAACACACATGACACACGAGTATGTATGTATGTGTGTGTGTCTTTTTGCATTGAATGAGTAAAAATGCCAGAAGCTAACTGCCGGCTTCTATTGCTGCCACTGGCAAAAATTCAGAGAACCGTGACGCACGTAGCTCTGTGTAAAAGTCAACAATGGAGGGCTGAATGAAGAAAAGAAAAAAAAAAACAAGCAAATGAGTAAGTGAGGTGTAACAGACAAAAAAGAGTGGAGATCCATTGGTTCTCTTATGATTCACATTGTTGTCGTATGAATTCAGCAGTTGTCAGTAAGAGATTGTTCCAGTTTCGCATTAGGCGGCAAAGAGTCTGGTAGTTTGGTATATATATTTTTTTAAAGAAGTATTGACAAAAATTGGAATTTTCTAAATAAGAAGTTTATTTTTTATAAAATCCAAAAATATCGTTGTTCTCATAGTTTCTCTGGAATACCACCAGGATGTTTGTGTCTTAAGTCTTTTGTTTTTAATAGGAAAATTATCTATTGATTTAACACAGTTTATCTAAAGGTTAAAGTTTAATGTAAATGGAGCTTTTTATGAGACTAGTGACAATACTCGCTTTGTTTTGAATTTCTTTCAAATACTTTTACTTTTTTCAGATTGAGTCGAGTGGAATGTAACGAAAGTGCTGGCCCACGACAAATAGTAACAAGTTCAGGGTGTTATACTTTTAATTGTACATTAACAAACTTGCATTCCATCATTATTACTCATTCTATTGACAGTAATGTATTTTCTGAATGACCAATTGTGCGATGTAATAGGCAATAAACATATAAGTAAAAAATAATAAAATAATATAACAATTAATTGGTTACGGGTATAAATCGTATTAATAGTTCTTAGCGAAACATAATATCTTGTTGTTGCAAAATGGTCAGACTTTATCCCTTTATTGTTGTTTTTATAAAAACAACGTTTGTTTATTAGTGGAGAACGATGGTAATGTTTACCAGGGGGTAAGGCAGGGAATACCTAGGTTTCGGAAAGAACCACCAATCCTCATCAGTTCCCTTGTTTTTTGTCTGGGATATTCTTTGTAAGATTTAGAAGACTTTCCAAAAGAATTTTAGTTTTATTTAATTCTTTGATTCCTCTTCTATTGAGCTTACGATCTCGTCACTTGGGTAAAAAATGTTTTTGTCCCATACAAAAAACAAGGGAACTGAATAAAGGGATAAAGCCTGACCATTTTGCAACAACAAAATACTACGGTATCCCGAACAAACAAGCCAACACTGTTCGAAACATAATATCAATATTTCAGAATTTGAGAAAACTTTAATTTGATTTGATCTCAATCATACTTTTAGAACCTTTCTTTCACAAGTTAAAATATTTAATATTTGGCTCTTTCTCACTATTGAAACCCGGTGGTATCTGTTATTTTTTCATAATTGCATAGAAATTGTGATATTTATGTGCAAGGTTTCCCAAAGGGTGGGAAATAATTCAAGACTCTCTAAATAAATATTAATTTTGAGTGGGTGCAAAAATCTCAAATAAATCATCATTTTAGATGGATGACGTCAAAGACAAAAATAATATTTATCAAGTTTTACTATAAGCCTCCGGACTTTTTTCGATTTGACGCCTGAAAGTTTCATCAAATTTCGTTTCAGGTGAAAGGTGTCCAAAGGACAAATATTCTATACAAATCTCTAAATCTCAGAATAAAATGTTCAAAATGTAAGTACTAAAAATGAAAATTATGTTATAGCTTTTGGTGCTCTTGATTTGACACGTATCTAATACGAGTCAAAGTCTTCCAAAAGTAGAAATTATTCTAGGTGAAGTTTCATTGTGAGTCTCTGAACAAAAGACATTTGTATAACTGATATGTACCATGACAAAATGCCATCAATTTTTGTTAATAAAAAACATAGTTAATTTCTGAAAAATAAGGGGATGTCTTTTATTTAGGGTTGTGCCATGAGCTGGAGCTATATTGATATTTTTTGTGAATAGCGTTTCTACATAATAAGAACTTTCAACCATTTGCGAAATTAAATGGAAAACATAGCCACAATTTTAAAAATGCGAAAAAGGCGACTATTCTATTTCTTCTAAAATTATGCTTTGTTGGAAATTTTTGTACAAACCCACACAATGTGTTTTTATACCCTACACCACCTAGTGGTAAGGGCATTATGTCTTTGTTTACGAGGTGAAGACTTCCTTTTGATGATGATCTGCATAGATTGACTTGACGATTTATGCATGTCAGTCCGTTTATCCGTCTGACTGTCCGTCCGTCTGTTCATGCATTTTTGTGAACAAAATGCAGGTCACGTTTATTATCTGATTGTAATGAAATTTTCCAAACAATATTTATTTGGCCCTAGGACGATCCCTATTGAAACTGGTGAGAATCGGTTCAAATTTAGATATAGCTCCCATATATATATATATATATATCTTCAATTGATTTTGGGTTAGTTGTGCACCAAATGACCAATATAAGCTCAAATGGCCTGAATTTTGGCGGCACATCCATCCGAATTCAGTCTAAAAGCAAGTACATCAAATTTTGTGAACATCGCTTCAGATATAGCCATAGCTCCCATATATATGTTTTATCCAATTTGGTATTACATTCACTCCCGTTCGTAATATGCATTCTACAACAATGATATTTGGTACCGGGCATCAGATACTGCTTGAAAATACATCAGCCAAATTTTATCGAGATTTAGAAATTGAATGAGCGTGTAGTTTTTCAAAATCTGGAACACTATGTGGGGGTCGTACCAGAAGAAATGGTTCGATCTCTACCACCTTTATACCAGAGCTTGTGTTGATGGAAATATTGAGATGTACCAAGTGTGAATGGAATCGGATGTTAATTTCGTGTTTTATGAGCTACATGTATATTGAAAATATTGACCGGTTTGTAGTTGAGGTAGCAGAAGGACTGGACCGATATGTTCAATCTTCACACCAGACCCTAGCCTTAAAAATATTGTAATGTGTGCAATATAATTATTTAAAATTTGAATTGAACCTTTGAGGGAGGTACTTAATGGAGTAGACCGATATTGTCCAATTTCGCTCCTGATGTAGCATTGATGAAAATATGAGGATTTGCAAAATTGGACAATCCAATTTTCATTCTCTGTGCAGTAAAATATTTTCATTGAAATTGTCGATTTTTTGTGGGGGAGTGGACAGATATTGCCCATCTCCGAACTCGATCTAAGTTTGACAATAATATTGCGATGTACCAAGTTTGGAACAAATCGGTTACTCCCTTCCAGAGTTATCGTGCGCACCAGCCAGCTTTATGGACGGACGGATATTGCTAGATCGACTCCAAATATCCTGAAACGGATTTGGTCTAAAGAGACCTAGGGTCTAAAATCGTTATTTCGATGAGGTATGTTTTGGCATATCAAATGATATATAACCTCTCTAGCCATATGGCAGAGGGTGGAAAAAATGTTCAAATAGGTTGTACTTTATCCCTCTATTAAGGTTACTTTTCGAGGTTACCTTTCAAAACGTCGATACACATGTCTTATGTCACTATACTTTTATAATTTGCTGAGTTTTTTCTGTAATTATTATTTTAAATTTTTATTTTTTTTTTTGTATTGTACAGTGTAATCCACATAATGTGTCTTATTTAATTTATTACTAATAAATACGCTTCTTTCTGAGATTGCCTTATTATCGGTAAAATGATATTGCATAATAAAAAAAAAAATACTGGCTTCAACTTATTTTCCATTAACACCTAATGCCCCATAATAATTTCGATCATCATTATTATAATATTTCTTATATTTTGTTTTAATCATGTCTTTGGTCCGCCAAACAAAATATTCTGCCTCATCAACAAATAAATGATATCGATTGCATTCAAATACATTTCATTGCCTCCACAATACCCTTCAATGACGATCAACCATTTTGCACAAAGCCTACAACCGAAATACATTTGTCAATGAAACCCTATAATGGATCCGATTCACAAACATTTGGTGTGACTTTGAATTATGGTAAGAACATTTGTTGTTGTTGCTGCTGGCAAACATCAGTTGGCTTGGTTATCAAATGGCTGAGAATAATCTTAGAATTCTGACGCAGATTCCATCTCTCATCAATTTCAATGATTTCGAACATAAACTGCAATGAACTGAGCCGCAAACGAGTTCAATTAAATGATAGAACAAATCGTGTGAATTTTCTGAAAAATGGAAAATAAAAGAAAAGAAAATCCAAATAATTATTCTAAGAAGGCAATAAAAAAACATGGCACAATATTAAATGGAATAACACAAATTGTTGTTGTGGTGGTGGTGGTGGCATGAAAATCAGTTAGCTTTGCAATTTGTTAGCAGCCATTATGCGTTTGAGTGCGACCGAGTTTCTTCCCTTGCAAAGAGACGAGACTATGAAACGATATTCAAATACTCTGCAAGGTTGCACGTAATTCAAAGGCAACAACAAAGCCATTAATTAGCGTCCATAACAGCGACAAAAATGAGTAGAGACAACTAAAATCAGATCAAAACCTCTTCAACGCTTAGCTAACCGGTGAGAACTTTTTTTCAGAGTATACACATAATGTTGGGTTTCTTCTCACTTGTTTATGGCTCCAATAGACCTGTGTGTTTTTATTGCAATAATCAGTCGATTTTAAATGTCATAAATATCTGTGATTACCATTGATTATAAACAATTAAATCACTTAAATTGTCATATGCTCAGTGGGGC